TTACTTTTGTATTGTAATGTAAAATATCCAAATAAATGATTTAAAAAATACAGAATATAGTTTATAATAAAAATAATAAAAACATATAATACATGAAAATAATAGAAAATATAGTTTAAGACGCATAATAAATTTAGTACACATATATGATATTGTATAACATACATAGAATAGAGTTCATATTAACAAAAATAATAAAAAAGACTTACCTTCAGATGTTTCAGCAGGTTAGAAGTGTTTTTTCCTAGTCCGCACACAATATTTGCACTTTGCCTTGATGTGAGCAGATCTAACATTAGGAAGTATGAAGTGTTCATGCACCACTAAAGGCAGTTTTGTAGCCATCTCAAATTTTTTAATCACTTTTAAACTGGTTAGAAAGCATTGATCTGATTAACCTTCTCACCTTGGGCATGTCCCGATGTTTTTAATTAAACTACTTTTTATTCATTTTATGCCAATTAGTATAGCATAAAATCGTAGCTACTAATCCATATTATAATAATATATATGTTTTAAGTTCATAATTTTACAAGGCAATATTTTAAAAAATCCTGAATTTCCCCTAGTGTGAAAAATGACTTTTTTCTCAAGGCATCCCCTCTTCTCTAATGTATTTGCCACCCCTCCAAGAAGTGCAAAATTTAACGCAAATTACTCATCATAAATTTGATTAGCACAAAAGTGGACATTTACTTATTCAATATGAAGTTTAACTAAATGATTCAGCGAATACGAATAATGTGCCATTGAATTCGAACACGAATATAGTATTTTTCCTACCAAAGTATTCGAATACAAGTACGAATATTCCCACAGCTGTATTCGAATATGAATACCCAATGTTTGCATAATTGTTGGATGCTCGGGAATATGACTCCCAGCCTCAACCCACAATTATTCTCATTCGTAAAATATGGCATCCAACCTCTAAGTACAGCTATTTCCTCTGGTACAATATGACACCCAACTTCTGTCAACACTTATTCCATCGCGTGAAGTATTGACATCTCATCCTCTACCCACAATTTTTCTCTCTCGTAAAATATTGTACCCAACTTCTACCTATGGTTACTCCGTCCCAAAATATGGCACCAAACTTCTACCTACTGTTATTCCCTCTTTTAGTTTTGCACTTTTTTATAATTTCTACACCTGGTAAGAATGTAATGATATTTTGTTTAAGCACGAATTTGTTATAAACATCACGATTTCTTTAGTGTCACATATGAAGTATTTTTGTACTTCTATGTTAAAAGACTTGTTTTGAATAGTTACCGAACAGCTAAATGTCTTTATTATATAGACCTTCCAACCAAGTTTTAATTCAAACTTCGTGTCTACAGGAAAGTTAAATAGATTATATTGTTTCTGCTACTTCTGTAACGTGAAGACAGACAATTTCGAAGCTTAACTTTTGGAGATTAACTAGATAAAAATTCTAAACTTAAGAATGATTCGGCTCTTTTTATATAGAATTCTGCTAAAATCACTAATACTGACTCATGAGGTATAGTGTTTTTGACCATATAACAATTAAGTTTCTGTTTTGTTGCCATTGTTTGTACTTCCCGTTTCTGTCTAAACATCAAATACATGTAATATTATGCTCATTTTGATTATGATGTTGAACTATCTAAAGTGTATACGTTTGTCAACCGTCCTATAAACGTTGGTACTACTAAATGTGTATGGAATGTATCACTTGTTTTAAGGAACAGATAGGATAATCCAATTTATATGTCACTAAATATTGACTTCGAACTTCAGATGAAATATTTAGAGCAATTCGTAGTTATACAAAATATCACTAGGTGATGCTATAATGTTTAAGCGTATGTGACGGATTTATCATTATATATTTATTTTAAAATCGATGTTTGCTTAAATTAAATTTCTATACTGTTAAATATGTATTGCGAAACTCCCGCCTATTCTCTAAAGTTGTAGAAGATTCTCGATTGTAAG